GGTGGGACAGCCGAGGCGCGCCTGGGCTGCCCGGCTGCCCGAGCCTCTCCGCAGCTTTGCTCCGCGTCTTCCTGGTCTGCAGACCAGGGAGACGTGGAGCAGCTTTTCTCGCCCCGGAGTACACGGGTGGCGGGACCGCGAGGTCCCGCAGTCTGTGTCCTCTGGGGCGAGAAAAGCCCCGGCGTATAAGACAACCCCCGATTTTTGGGGGATGTTTTTTAGCATAAAAAGTCGTCTTATACGCCGGAAAATACGGTATAAGCCCTTAAATAAATCCTCTCAGCTCACGGTGTTTGCATTTTAAACAAGATTTTCTGTCAAGATACAAAAGTTTATCATCAGATTTCTGCAAACCTAATAAAAAATACTTAATGACAGCACTGAAGGTAAAATGTAACAAAAAGAATCCACAGACACATAGATTTTAAGGTCAGAAAGGACCATTACAATCTCTAGACTAGGGATGTGAAAGGTTAACCAATAACCATCACTCTTAACAGGTGATGCTTTGCAGTTCACCAGTGGGAGCTGGAGCAGCCACTGTCCATAGTAGGGTTGTTAAATTTAGTTTAATCAACTAATTGATTAGTCAATGGAATTTTCATTGACTAGTAGATAAGGAGCTAACCCTGCCACAGCTCTGCCTTTTAAATGTATTAAGAGCTGGCAGAAGCAGAAAAAAGCAGAAGCACAGTGGGGAGAGGACATGATCTGGTGCAAACCAGAACCGCTGATTTCCGGGTTGTGTTGGGTCCTCCCCTGCTGTGCACCAGCCTTTTTAATGGGGACTTTGAAACGCAGCAGCGTTTCAAAGCGACAGTGCTGCACAGAGTACTCAGACTCCATGCAGCACTGCCGCTTGGAAGTACCCTCTCTCAATCCCCTTTTAGCAGGGGGGATATGGGGGGAGGAGAAAATCAACTAGTCCACGTGGTACGAGTACCCTTACGGGTACTCAAGAGATGTCTGGGGGGTATATCAACACAACTGAAATTTGGAAAAAACTGAATTTTTGTTTTACAGCGCTTTATTATTTTTGTACTTTTTACACCGAAAAATGTCATTGCCCATTATTATGTTTGTACTTTTTACACCAAAAAATGTCATTGCCCGCCTGGTTACGATTTAGCTGTTTAAACAAATGTGTTATAATGGTAGAAAAAAAATTTGTGTATCTGAAAATTTAGGTACTGGGGGTTCTTTTTTTTAAAAGGGTATCTTTATGAAAAAAATTGAGAACATTGGACTAGTCGACTTGACTATCTGATAAGCATTTGCTTATTGGATAGTTGACTAACCCTTAACATCCTTACTTCATAACTGGGCTGCCAGCCAGCAGTCACTGCTCTCCAGATGTCCAGCTCTGAAGACAGCCCAGCCAGCAGCAGTGCAGAAGGAAGGCAAAACTGCAATCTCCCCCTCCCCCCATGCACAAAATAACCTTACAACCCTCATAACTTCTTTTTCAGTCAAACCCCTATAAAGTACAACACTGTGACACATAAGGTTTAAAATGGCTGAAATAATGACATGTATGATTTTTAAAATTGCGTGACCATGAAATTGACCAAACTGGGCTGGAAATTAGGTAGGACCTTACACATAATGACAAGTCTCTTTTTTTTCTAGGAGTGCCAGCAAAGGTTAGACTCATATCCCCCCTCCACACCACCCCACCCACACACCCACACACTCCCCACGTACTCCTCCAAATACCACCCTTATTCCCTCCCTGATGGTCCTCCTGCACCCCACTGCCTTGCGCTCCCTTTGGCCTCCCTCCCCACATGAATCTCCTCCCAGCCTCCCCCCACCCCGGGTCCCACCAACCACCCCTACGCCTCTCACCAAAGGCCTCCAGGGACCTCACACCACCCCGGGCAGCTCTCCCAGCCATTCTCTGTCCCTCCCGCCAGCCAGCCGTCCACCACGTGACAGTGCTTCCGCTTAACGCCCGCGAGCGGCCCATTCTCATTGGTTAGTAGCTACAGACCCTCCCCCTCCGCTCTCCAATCATTTGCCTCCGCCGCGCCTCGGGCTTATTGGCTGCTGGGCCCGTGGTCCGCCCCTCTCCCGAGCTGTCGTTAGTTGTGCGCCATGGCGTGTCAATCAAGCGACAGAGAAGGGGGCGTCACGGTGAAGTGACGCGGCTCAGTCTGAGGCTGTCGCGCGGTGCTTGGGTTCCCCGGGGGCAGCTGTTGCTACGTGTCAGCCTGTCTCGCGCGGCGCGTGGTTTGGAGGCTCCCAGTGGCCTTGCC